TCCCGCGTGTGTCAACCAACATGTTTTCTTCGATCATTTTTATATGTCTGGCAGTAAAATTTGTCATTTCATATTTTTCCCCCTCGCAAATATCAATCAACTAAAGATACATGATTCGTATACCAACTTGGTCATGCGACCTTACTGTGCTCTGCACTTTCGTGAGGAGTCGGTCAGTTTAGGCATAGTTTCAATCCTAAAAGTTTTCATCACAAAAAGTGCTCGTTTTAGAACTTAACACGCAGCGTGTTCTTCTTTTATAATCATTTCGATTAATTAGTCACTTCTTGCAAAGATACTTTCTCTCTTACGTAAGGATAATGCAATTCTTACACGAGTTTGGACTAGAGAAACAACTGATCCGAGGAAGTTAAGCTGTGGTGCCTCTTCAAAATATCAGGGGATTTTCCGTCTGTAAGGACATGACAGTCAGAATTTTTGAAGGATTTTCTTTCAAAACGATTGCAAATAACCCAATTATCGAGCTTCATAAATCTATGCCAAAATCAGAGCTAAAGTAAAATGAAAAAAGATGAAGCTATACATCGGCGCGGGTTTCTTTCGCGTTGGGTGACTATTTTAACTCTGCACCGATCAAATTGCATATGGAAAAAATGAAGGAACTTTGAATGAATTCGTTAGTTCTTCGCCTTGCAGTTTTATGGAGAGCGCCATGCCGTGCACCTGTGCCGGCAAGTAGATTAGACCCCTGGCAACTATTTTGCAGCAGGTTGCATACCCAAAGAAGTGAAGGAACTTTGATTGATTTCACTGACTCTTGTCTTGGACCGGAGGTCTAATCGAGAGCACCACCGCACGCACACACATACTAACGAGTATTTTCGATCCCAAGCAACCATTTTAACCTTCCGGAGATCAAGTTGCATACCCGACGAAATGAAGGAACTTTGATTTCACTGAGTCTTGTCTTGGCTCGGTAGTCCATTTGAGAGCACCTCCGCACACAAATGCTGGCAAGTATTCTCGATCCCAGGCAACCATTTTAACTCTCCGGAGATCAAGTTGCATACCCGACGAAATGAAGGAACTTCGAGGGACCCCGCTGATTCACAGTTTACGCTTAACCAAGAAAAAAGGCGAAGAAAAACCATCCTCTTTTTCTGAATCTGATTTGCGTGTTTCGATTCTCACAACCTCCACCACGGGTAAGCAACCCCTTCCAAAAGCGTCACCAAATTTATAAAATCCCACCTCGGGTGATCCAGAGCGGCGGATAACCCGATCAAAGTCAACCTCAAAATTGAGTTGGCGCTCGGAGGAAGAGGATTTTATATCCTCCACCGGGGTCGGGGGTGAGGGCGGGGGCGAATGACGTAACGCTCACGCAAAATTACGTTGCCCTTGAAAGTAATTCGCCCGCTCGCATCATCCCGCTGCAATTTCGCGACGCTCCCAGTCGCGGTGCCGAGTCGGTGAAAATACCTGCGTCAATTCCACGCTAAGCAGCGTAAATTTGGCAACGGCGCCGGGTGCTAATCCCGTCAGCCGTGACGTCAGCCGCCGCCGGGAGATCAGATGGATGAGACGGCGCACGGTGGATCGAGTCAATGGGAGGGGTCGGTCATCGCGCATCATGCGTCTTATTTTCTCTGATTACGGAGATTTCCCACCCTTAGAATAGAGCAAATTACACTTACCTAATGTATTTTTCGTCGTAGATTCCATTTTTGATCATTTTTCAGCCGAATAACGAGTTTTAATACGTGTTTGACACACTTTTTCATGACTATTGAAATTGGGATCCCTGATAGCTGTTTTTTCACGTTACTTTCGGCGAATGGGACCGTAAGCATCTTACATAAAGAATAATTTTGCAGAACTTGACTCAAGAACATTACTTGAGGAGTGAGGGAGGGCGGCTTTACAGCCCCCTCACCACGAAGGTTGCCATATTTCTTTCAATTTCTGCTAACATCGTTTTTTGTTCATGTTAATTGGTTTCTCGCAATTGCATACTGACACATATACGGAACATTCTGATAATGTTCATTTATCTTCTCTTTTCCTCCAGCCAGTCAATAAACGTTTTCATTTTTATGAACTCTCTACTCTTTCAGTTATTCAACAAATATTCATATTTCAAAAAATAGATCAATATATTAAAGAAATAAAAAAGAGATGTATATACTGTAGCTTCTTTTTATCGAGTCATCCTAGAATATTATTATAGGTACTTATCACCACATGAAAAAAAAAATTGAATGTGCAGGGAAAAAAAAAATTATATCATCTTCCATTATTTCGTTTTGTTCCTCGATGTTTGGAGTGAAGTATGAATCATATTTATTGAATATATATTAAAATAGGAGGAAAATTATTTTTCATGGAAGTTCTGATCCCTTGAAGAACCTCTGAGAAGGACTATTGTCTCTTAAAGAAATTTCTTTTATTTCTTCTTTTTCAACCCACAACCAATTTTTTTACTTTCTCGCTACCCTAGGGTAGAGAAAGTATTGTCATCCTCCAAGGGGGGAAAAAAAGTTGAAATTTTATTTGTATGGAGCTCATGAAAGAGTTCTAGGTATGTTGCAGACATTTTGCAAGAAACGGGACGTGTGAAATATACAATGCGCAAAACATACACCTTAAACTTTATCGCACAGTATAACGCTGATCGAATCAGCTTCAAAGACTAACAAAAGGTTAATGTATCGTCCAAAAATATCAACAAGTAAGCCAAAATCAGTAATCAGTAGAAAAATTATCGAGATTGAAGGATATCGTGTGATGCGCGATTTTATTGATGACAATAGAGCAAGATCGGATTCCCAGCAGGCGCGACTTCCTATCATTCAAATGGACCGTTTTCGCAGATTAGCGGATATTAGCGGCTAATTATTACATAATATCATTCCTGATAGTGTACAGGAGGCAACCCGACAAAGGATTTTGCGGACACTTGTGGACATTTTTTTATCGAGCTATTTTAACATTTTTTTGGGCGTTTTTTTAAAGCAAGCTTTGGAGGTGGTTTTGGTCCTCCTAAAAATATGCCAATGCACATTAATGATATACCAAAATGTTCCTTAAAGGGAGGAGAATAAGCATGTTTAATTGAAATTTTGATTTATCTGCCACAGAACTCATGCAAAAGCGAAATAAAACCTTGAGAATTAGACGGCAAATTTGATACCACCTGCAATGTCAGCTTTAGGCAACCCGCATGTCAAAGCGGAAGGGTTCAAAGATCCTAGAATCGTGGATACATTCATTTTGGAAGCTTAACTACTAGAAAACCAAGAAAAAATATTTAAAATCAGACTTTTTTTTTGTCGCCCATGACCGACCTCTACCATTGACTCGATCCACCGTGCGGCGCTGCGAAATCTCGCTCGCCGAGGAAGCATCCGTGAGGCTAGTGGTGCGGTTTTCCCTCGCGTGGCAGCGCTGGTTGTTGTCGAAGTTACGATTTCGCGCGGGTGTGAAGTTAGCCGCGAAACGCGAGGGGTTAAGCGGGACTCGGGAGGGAGGGGGGGGTGACTGATGACATTAATGATCATCGCGGGACGAGGGCGCAGGGAGCAAAGGGCCACAGGGCTCCCTGTTCGAGGAAAGACGCAGGCCCCTTGTTGACTGTCGGGTCGGACCATTGTTTGCGGGTAATCGTTGTTTGATTCGCGCGACTCTGGTAGGCGTGTTTATCGACTGTTTAAGCGCTCGCACTGCGATTAGGTGTCTCTGAACCGATCAATCAAATTTCCACCAAGGTCGAAAGGACTTAAAGCAGTATCGGATGTGTCTACGATGAAAAGAACTATGTGCATAGGGTTTGCGTGGAATATAGATCCTTTTCGTATAATTACGTCCTATTCGTGGTCGCTCCTTGATCACCTCCTTCCTTGTGGGGGAACGTGGTAGGTTTAAATTGCAATTAAGGAGGGCTCGAGGTGACCTCCAACGTAAAATGTTATGAGAAGTACCCTTTAAAAAACGTTTACAAAATTTGAGTAGATTCCACAGAATGATCCGGGAAATAGACCCTTGCGATAAATTTCTAGGTCTTTATGATTTGTCACGACAAAAAATTACAAATACCAAAAATAGTGTAGCGGGTTTGGCCAATTTTAAACATTAACCATACCAACCACAAAATTACTTAAAATTACATCGTGTTTTCCTATTTTATTTGTTATTTGCGGCGCGGAAGGATTATATAATTCCTAGCAAAGATAAACCTCCAAAATATATCATTGAATTTTACTCAAATTTCGTAAAATTTGTCCTTTCATACGATGGATATATTGAAGACCACCTTCATGCCTACACCTCTTTTAATCACAATCTAAACTTTATGGCAAATTAAGTTGACTTAACTGAGTCCCTCTGCAAGGAAGCATTTTCGTTAACCTACTAAGTAGCTTTGCGATCAAAATTTCACGGGGGGCTTCGAACTTAAAACAGTCCTAAAAATTGCTGATAACGACTTCTTCCTACGAACTTTTGGGTCATGAGGAGATCCACACCCCCGACACCCCCCACTTATATCTACATCACTGGATTCACACTGAAAAAAAAGTATGGTAACATCTACTATAAGTCTATTTGATTTTTTACACAGTGATACCATTTAGTGAAAATAACCAGAATTATGGTAGTATTTACCAGAATTATGGCAGTATTCACCAGAATTCTATTGATACTTACCATAGTATAGTAAATACTACCATACGGTCCAGCATTTATTACTACACTGGTTTCTCTGTATCCTAGTTTGGGCAAATCTACTATATTTTTTTCAGTGCATCATCATCGGACTAGGTTCTTTTCTGGTGAGTCCGGTCCGTTAAAGGGTGTAAAAAAGAACGAGGGGGAAGGGGGTGTAGAGAAGGGGGGTAATTACGGTGGAGCAAAAGCATACGCCCCGCCTGAAACGCATCGGGGAGCGAGGTGCGTATCGTAAATGAGGAAAGGTCACGGGAAGTGGGACGGGAGCCGTTTTACGGAAAAGCGGGGGGGTCGGGGGGCGGGGGNATGGGGGGTGGAAGTCTTCGTTCGGGGGTCGAGATTGATCCCGCGCGCTTGTCAGGGGCACAGGGGGCACGAGGGTGGGGGGCGAATGGAGTGGGGGCGACGCTAATTGAATATGATTGCGCGCCAAGATTTTCAGCGTCCGCGAATCTGTTGATGCTCCTCGCGGATGCTCGCCGTGCGCGCCCTTTTGCGCAAGAAAAATCGGTGAGGATAATCTTCGATCTCATTTTCGGAGCGAAAGCCCGTGTATTGGCGGACGGCAGTGACAGAAGTCGTGCATATTCTGGAGCATGATCTGTTGAATTGCTCATATTTTCGCCGTCGAGGTAGCGTTTATGAAGTACGCAGCGCTATGAGGAGGGAGAGGGTGCATGAGCCTGCGTTACAGTGGCGGGATAGGAGCGGTCAGTAACTGCGTTCCGTAACCTTCTCTATTGGTAAAAGACACACAAAATCCAAAATGTATCATTCTCGTTTCCTCCACGTTATTCGTCACACTGGCATTGAAAATACTCTCAATTTTATCGGGCTATAATAATTATATTCAACAGGTCCACACAACTTTCGGGATCTTAAGGGGGAGGGGGTCCGGAAAGTGTTACGTAATTATTAAGGGGATCCGTAGTTAGGTACGTTACGAAGCGTTAAAAAGAGGTGGGAGGGAGGAGGGGTCGAATTGCCAAAAAAAGTGCATTGCACAATTGGTTGTATTTCTGCCAAGCGGAACTATGTGCATTATGACGTGAGCCCAGTTACGCTTGTATCCTTATGGATCGGAGGGCTCACCGGCTCATGTCTTAATGCACACAGTTCCGTTTAGCAGAACTACGTCCAGTTTATGAACGCCCCGTGATATGACAAGTAGCGGTTCTGAAGGGATTCACTGTGGGGTTTTCCGTAAACTTCCCCCAAGGAGCACCCCTAAAAAATTACGATACGATGAAATGAACATCAATCCAGAATATTTCGAAATAATCATCCATGTCATTCCAGCTCTGTTTTCCCGACCCTCGTGCCACCTGGCGGCTGGTGACGGAAACATCCGGGTTGCGACCCGGCATGACGTCATCCGCATCGTCCGTGCGCTATTACGACTTCGGAATCGATGTACATACCATTGTCCGCATTTCAACACGTCAAACGCGACACGACCCCCCTCCCCCCCTCTTCCGATTTCACCCCGTCTCCGGGCTGTTTTGCATGGTTGTGGCTTTCGGGTGCCGATTCCCGTGCGACCCGTCCCCAAAAGTCATTTATCAACCCCTCGCTGTGCCCTCACGTACGACCGCTTACCGCGCGCTGACCTCCTTTTAGAAAGGGTTGCCCTCTGGTCAGGGTGCTAAAAATAGGAGGAGTCTCTAAAAGATAGACAATTGCCGTGAAATTTTGTGATGTTGTGCAAATTACGATAATGCGAAATATTCATTTCAGGGACTGGGTATGCAACTCGAACAAAAAAAAAAACACGGAAAAAACGATATAGTGCTGAGCACTAACTGTTTAGATCAAATGGAGCAAGCTGATATGGCAATACTGCTGAGACCTACAGTCTGTAGGGCTGGACCCTAAAGTTTTAGGGCTCAGTGCTACTGCCATACTAGCGTTACTGATTATGATCTACATTTGATCTAAACAGTTAGTGCTTAGAACTATATAATTTTTTCCGCGTGAAACATAAAAAGACCTAATCATGTATTGTCATTTTCCTTCATTTGATTCTGCGATTGAATCTCTTTTCCTCGTTTGTCACACGTGCGGAATAGAAATAGGTAGGATGATGCCCTTAACCGATGTTGGCAGAGTTTTTATGAATACTCGAACTATATATATCTTTATTTTAAAAAATTCACTGAAAATTTTGAGGAATTTCAACAAAATCGTCCAGCTGATAGGTACCCGTAGACATCAAGAAGATTACGAGAGGAAAGCACGATAGCATGACTAGTTGACCACTTCCCCGGATAAATGGAATTGCCAAACCACACGAGTTTTTCAAGTTGCCGAAGAACGCTCAGAAGAGATCCTATCCTCGCATTTTGTTTACTCTTAAATTTTCCGGTCGACTCTTTATAGCTGAAAATATCTTGCAAGAAGTTGTTATGAAGAAATACTGATGAACACGAGCCTCTAGTATTTGAGACTCGTATCAATAGGAACGAAGTTTCAGAAAATATGAATTACCATTGTGAAATTGAATTTCATTAATTTGAATGAGATTTTGCATCTAAGGTCTTAGAAGGAGGCTGAATGGAGCCTCGGGCGGGGCTAGAGGGCGGTGGTGAACTGGTCGGAAACCCTGGCGAGGTTGATCTTGACGAGGACGGGGGCTGCGGGGGGCGGGGCCTCCGGGGGGCGGAGCCTCGGGGGCCCGGGGGGCGGGGCCTCGGGCTTGGGGGTCGGGGCCGGTCAAGCCGGAGCGGTGACCTGGTGGACTTGGGACGTGCCGAAGGCCTTGAGCTCGGTGAAGACCTCGGTGAAGAAGGCCGGCTCGGAGTTGATGCGGAGCATGCTCCCGGAGAGGGAGTCGATGATGGACAAGCAGCGGTTCCAGAAGTTCTCCTTGCACTCCTCCACGAGGAAGGGCTTCAGAGGGTAGGAGATCTCGTTGCCCATGTAAGAGTAGGAGAGGTAGAGGCAGGTGAGCACCACCGCTTGGAGCTCGGCGCACGAGCGGACGGCCTCGCCGTCGACCAGCTCCCGGATGAGCATGTAGACGAACACCACGTTCGCCGGGTTTATGAACGCCACCTCCTGAAACACACCAAACAACACGTTAGCTCACATTTTCCAACAACATAACGAGGGCTGATAGTGCAATGCCGTAGGGTTGCTGACGTCGCACAGTCGATCGAGTCAATAGGAGAGGTCGGACAAAATTTGGAAACTTTAAACGCTTATAACTCCGTTTATACAAAAGTTTGAGGTTCTAAAAATGGTTCCATTGATTTCCTCGAGAAATTTACTTCTAGAAACACCTCTTACTTAAAATGTGACGATATACACATCAAAATTTGCAGTTTTAGTCAAAAATTTCATGTTCGATCCACTGTGCGCCGCAGTAAAAACCGGAAAATATCAGGAAAATCATTGTCATCAGAAAAAATTAGACGTATTTCTGCTGAACTGTGCTATAGAATATAGACGAGTGGGAAAAATGAGGTATGCTCTGGAAAGCTGTACATAAGAAAGAATGTAAAAGTGGGCGTGATGGAATCCTGGGATTTTACACTCTGCTAAACGGAACTGAGCGCCTATACTGTATGCTGACTCATGAGCCGTTAGTCAACTGCGTTGTGGATAGGGCTCATGAGTTAAAAGAGCACCCCGATCTCGAATTCGTAGCCACTGACGTCACTGGAGCTTTATGATTCCAACTCATTCTCACGGCCCTCGACTAACGAGCACACCCTTTCTTTCCCATACCTGTCTCTTGTTCCGTTTAGCAGAAGTACGTCCATTTGATGTGACCAAGAAAAAGCAGTAAATTTCGGAAAATACAACCAAAGTTAAGTAGTCAGTAGGCGATCATGGCTTGCCTAATTCTACTTGCTACATTATTTTCCCGTTTCTTGATAGCAGCATTGGAGAGAACACGGGTAGGTAAATATTCGAACTCTCGAGTCATGCTACTTGTATCATCCAAAATTGAAGGCGACTTTTACTCGCGAGAATAAATGAATAGGTACCGTATCCTCGCGTCTTAAAACCTGAGCATTGGGTCGAAAAACAAAACGAATCGTCAAAATCGTACACATTATTGATAAATGTCATCAAGCGAAATCTTTAAAAGACCCTTGAATTATTCCCAAATTCTACAGAGAGCACTCAACCGCCCATTCGCATTATCATCGAAAAAACTAATATTAATATTTGCCGAAGCACTCGACCGAATAGCTGATTTGAACTTTGGCTTTCGACTTAAACATGGAAGTCTCCAAGGGCTCGACGCACAGTGGATCTAGTCAATCGGGGTGATCGGACATGAAATTTTTAACTAAAACTAAAAATTTTGATGTTTAATTCGTCACATTTTAAATTTCAAGGGGTGCTCCTGAACGAGAATTTCACGAGGAAACCAATGGAGCCACTTTTAAAACCTCAAAGTTTTGTATGAACGGAGTTATAAGCTTTTAAAGTTTCTAAATTTTGTCCGACCTTTCCCATTGACTCGAACCACTGTGCGACGGCGCGTGTCGAGGAAAGCAAACAATTGCTTGGAGCGAGCGGAGCTAGTGTTTTTCTTAAGGCTTCTCGCGGGGATACTCTTTCCGAAACTTTTCCCGCCGATATTTCGTAACAAATTTTCAAATCGTGAAATTACAGTGGCTCGGAGAACGGGTGGGAGAAGAGTTCTGGGAAAACTTCCAGGCTCTCCGCGACACAAGGGTTGCCGAAGGTTGGCGAACGGGGGTAGTTGGTGGGGGGTAGTCCGCCTACGCGCCCCCCTATTCCGAGTACTCCACGCGCTATCCCTACAGGGGGCGACTTGAGCGACGGGGTTGACGGATCCCCGGTATATTTGTTTACGGTTTTACGAGTTTTTTGCGAGGGCTCTCTTTTACCTATAAAGGCACCGCTGTTCGTATCTGGGTCCGCGCTCGCAGCCAAGTGTCCTCTAATTGGGGGCAGATAGGGGGTGGGGGATGAAGGAGGATTCACGTTTATATTTTTGCGTGGACGGATTAGGATGTACGCAACAAGAGAGGTCCAGCTAAACCTCCGTTCATGAGGGTATTCGGTTGCAATTCTTTTGCTTCAGAAATATTCTTTGAACAATACAAAAAGTAGCAACTTATAATACAGTCCTCTTCACTAAAAATTAAAAAATCTACACCCCTAAATTAAATAGAACGCGAATCTGGTCATTTTAAAATAAATCTCTAGGTCACTCTAAACTGGAAAAACTTACAATACCTATAATATCGAAAATGTTGATTATAAAAATTAAGAATCCATGGCACTTAGACTTGATATTATCGTCTTTAAACCATCAGTTGTTTGAACGATCAAATTAGTTCAATGTTATCGCCGGAAAGTTGAATAAGAGAAGCCCCTTCAATTAATAAAGAGGCAACATACATGACACCCCAATGCAGCAGCATTGATTTGTTTATTATGTAATCGCATTTTAAGTGGCTAAATTTTTGACAAGTTTTGAACTTTATTTGTAAATTATTACCGAGAGGAGAGTGTAAAAATCAACGTACTGTGTAAAGAGGGAGTATTGCGAGAAAAATGCAATAGGCACATTCTGCTGTGCTGAGCACAAACGCCGTATGAGCATTCGCATGTTGCCACGTTTCCTCTCAGAAAATATTTACTTTTTAGGAAATTATGAATATATTTCCTCGAAATTTTCAGACTTTTTAGATCACCTTACGAACGAAATCCTCTGAAAAATTGGAAGTGAGGCTGCCGCAAATTTTTCTGAAAATTCGTGATTTGTCGAGAGGAACTTGGCAACACCCGATGGCTCATACGGCGTTCTTCCTTACGTCGGTAGCATTGACAAGAGCCGCTTACACTGCCGTGCTGAGGAAGAAGGTCACATGAACCTTCGAGTGTTACCAAATTTCTTGCGGTAAAATGCAAATTTTCTGGAAAACTTGCAGAAATTTTCCGTCCAATTTTCCAAAGAGTTTTCATCGCAATGTGATCTAAAGTATAAGAAGACTTCAAGTAGAACTATTCATTATTTGTCTCAAAAATCAATATTTTAGGAGGGGAAAGGCAACTTTCGGATGTCCATACGGCGTTCTTCCTTAGGACAGCAGCATTGACTAGAGCCTCTTACAGGGACTCCGGCCCGAGTCGGTTGGTCAAAGCGATTAATTCACGTGCAGCGGAGATTCGTGTTAGTTTTAAGAAAACGTAAGGCTTCCCCTTCCATCGATTTCCCGCCGCTGCGCTCCTCGCGTAGTCCCGTCCATGACAGAAACAATCTTCGAGCTTTCCTCGCCCCTCCGTCGTCGTCGATGTTTAGTGATTTCGTTCAGTTTCAGTTAAAAATAACAAGATTACACCCGCTAATAAATTCTTCCATCGCCTCCCGATCCGTCAATATCTTTCAGCACGAATATGAAAGCGTCGTTTGGGAAGGAGAGCTCCTGTACTTCTCCCGACTATTCTGTCGTGCTAAGGAAAAACGTCGTACGAACCTTCAGGCGCTGCTAAATTTTCCTTCATAAAACACGGATTTCTTGGTCAACTTATGAATATTTTTCTTCCAATTTTTCACATAATTTTGCTCGCTATTCCATCGGAAAGTCCTAAAAATTTCAAGGGAAAATATTAATAAGTTTCTTCGGAAATGGAAATTTTATCGAAGGAAATTTGGCAACTCTCGAATGTTCATACGACGATCTTCCTTTGAACGGCAGTATTGTGTTTGCAACAATTCGTGACCAGGGTGGCAAAATTTTACGGAGAATAAAATCTTGAAATTTCATGTAAAAATTTTCATGTTTCAAAAATTTTGATATTGAAAAATACCGGTTCTGTTTCGCAAAATGTTACAATTATTGTGATATTCTTCTATTTTTGTGTGTTTGAGTGCGGGTTGTATACTCTAGCCCCTAAAAAGTATGAAATATTTCACAGCGTTGTAAAATTTCATGAAAAACTTCACCGAAATTTCCAATCTTTCATTTCTCTCTTACGTTTCATGACACCCTGCTCGTGACCGTCCACAGGAAAATGGACTTTGGTACCGCGAAATTTTGAATTTCGAGATACGGTAACTTATATCATAGAGTCATGTTTCGTCAACATTATGGCTTATAAAATGCCCAAAATATCAACCCAAACTAAATTTATGAAGGTTTGAAATTTGTGACTGGATTTATGAAACCTTAACTTTTTGCAAATTTACGAGGAAGAAAATCTGGAAATGGCACGGACCCTAAAATCCCAAAAAACGGAGTTTCGTGATATAAATTTGTAGTCTGTAGATAAACGAGGTTTTCGTTTTTAAAGAATATTGCAAAAAATTTCTCCCCGCGGATAAAGTCATTTTCCACAGATCCAATCACGTCTATGTTTATGATGAGTAGCCAGGAGAAAAACCCATTTAGACGTTTAAAGTGTGAAACTACTAATATCCCAGAGAGGCTAGACAGACAGTCTAATAGTCATTACATGGATTTTTACGGTTCTGTCCTTTTCCCAGTTTTGTGACTCACGTGTCTCTTGAAGCACCACTAACGACGAGACAAACGGAACCAATACGGCATGGAAAAAGATCAAGGGAATGGATACGCGGTGACGACGGCGCAGAGATACAACTATTCGTACTTGATGGATGTCCGTGTTGCGTCTGCAAAATTGAAGGCGCGATGGCGCGAGCCGTGAACTCGCAATGCTCCGCTCTACGCTGGCGATGAGGTGTCGCATCGTTCAGTTTTGGGAGTAAACTCACGAGACGAGGCCCAAATACGTCTCTCTCATCTTCGGCTGTGTTATCACTCGATTTTATCTGTTTCTCTGATTTGATGTCTGATTCTTTCTCTAGGATTTATTTGTAGACCTACGATGCAAACGTATAAACGTAGGAACCAAACGTTGAATAACCAGTGTAAATGTGCGTCACACCGAAATGATTTTCATCGAGGGGAAAGAAACCAAGGGTGACACTATCGCGGAGGATGACGTCATACACCGAATTTTTCAAAGCGTGATATCTTGGTTAATATTGAACGTAGAGAGTTGCCGTTTAGACATCTTGTGTTTTTAGCTGATCTACAAGAATCAAG